GTAAAACTAGTCAAGGAAACGATTGAGGCATTTGGTTGGGAAATACTTTCGCATGCGGCTTACTCACCAGACTCGGCTTCGTCCGATTACCACTTATTTGCATCGATGGGACACGCACTTGCTCAGCAGCGCTTCACTTCTTACGAAGATGTACGAAAATGACTAGATGACTGGTTTGGCTCAAAAGAGCAACAATTTTTTTGGCGTAGCATCCACAAATTGTCACAGGTGGAAAAAATGTATAGCTACCGATGGGCAATATTTCAAATAAAATATTTTTTATCATTTTCATGCAATAAATGTATTTTCTATAAAAAAATTCCGGTCATATTTACATACCTGGTATTTCGAATTATAAAATACATATTTTATTTAATAGTACAATAAAATGTATTGAGTATATCACGATTTAATCGATTCCTATGTTTATTTATAAATATATATATTTACATTTTTATTTTGTGTGATGACTTTAATGTGCACATTGAGTGCGTCCAATCGAATTCGCTATTACATAAGTTATTTAGTAAAATTTAAAAAATGTTGACATATTGGATGTTCCTATATTCCATCCTTTTTAAATATATATGGTACATTGAAAATTTGTAATATAGATGTTGAAATCGCTTAATTATGTGAATTAATTAAGTAATTGATATGCTAGTAATAATCTCATTTTCTTCTTTGAAAAATTAATCTGTTCACCAAAAATTGTTTAACTGTTAGGATCAGATGAAAATAAATTGATGATATACTGATAGTTACAATTAATAAAATTTAAAATTAGAAATCAGAAGAAATGAAATTGAAATATGTGGTGTATAAAACGACCATTACACATTAGTTTTAGTTAAACAAAATAAATTCAATTACAATATTAAGTATGTATAGATCAAAATAAATTACATATTAAATTTCTCAATAGTTTTATCTATACGATTATTATTTTATTTTCGATATGTGGATGACATTATCCTATCTGCTTCATCAGAGAGCATTAATGATATCTTGAGAATTTTTAAACTCATTACATCAGATTACAATTTACTATGGAGATTGGTACTGATGGGAGATTAAGTTTTTTGGATACTATGTTATTGGTTAAAAAAAACAAAGACTTGTTTTTGACGGATATCGCAAGACAACTTTTTGCAGCAGATTTCTTAATTTGAATTCACCCGCTTTGACACAAGAGAGATGTAATCTATAGATTTGTAGACAAAATAATACATGTCATCCTCGTTTCCAGCAAAATAATTTAATTAATGTTATCAATATTTTCTTAAATAATGGATATCTACTAAAATTCATCTTTTCCTCAATTCAAAAAAGAATCAAATTTTATCGATAATAATAATAGAACTAGTAACTAAAAAAAAAGGAAAAGGAAAAGATTAGTTGAATTCATGATGCAATCAAAATGTTCACAAGAGCTCTTGTAATAATTGCAATGTTAATTATGTGGATCAAAAAAAAGACAAGATGGCACAAACATGTTTCTGATATTAATAAGAAATCAAAACCCCTATCGATGATTTTCCAACCATCACATTGATCACCATTGGTCACTTCTGTACATCATTACTGTTTTAACGAATTACAGAATAGAGTATCAGAACTACAATTTTAACTAGGATAATGTTAAAATTTTAGATACTGAATCTTCTTATACAGAGATTAATATCGGAAATGATCCATATAAAAAGACAGAAACATGGGATAAATAAACAAATGATAAACAAATGATAAATGAATGATACGAAATCTCTATTATACTCTATGATACGAAACTGTAATATATTCTAATCTCATAATCCCTTTCTCCTTCCTAATATCTCCTTTTTTCCTTCCTCTTATTACCTTCTCAAAATATACTTGTCTTCTCTTTAACTCAGTTCTCTTTAACTAATATTGTCTGATACTGTCGAAATTACTTGTTCTTTACTTTAGTACCGCATTATGGCTTATATTTATTGTAATAACTACTGCGTTTTTCTTTTTAACTCACTTTTTAACACTCTTTTTAGTTCACAACAATTTGACTAAATAAGATACATTCTCATTGGTCTCCTTATTGCAGATCTCTCATAATAATCTTATATCATATATATATATATA